TTTTCTACTTGGTGAGTTACAGTAACAATAAATTTTGAAACTCTTCAAAGACCAGAGCAGATAATGTAAGGAACAGAGAGAGGGTCTGAATTTGATACTGTGTCATGCTGATTTTCTTTTTCTTTTGCTCAGCAAATCTTTGAGTGATGAGGAAAACTTGAAACTTTTTGGGAAATGCAATAATCCGAATGGCCATGGGCACAATTATAAAGGTGAGAGAACAATTGTAAAGGTGAGAGAAAAAACAGTATATGGAGAGGATGAAATGTTATCCCTTCAATAAGGGTGAAAGAGTATTCAGCAAATGCAAGTGTGACTAGTAAGGGGCCTTAAGGACAGTATGAATGCGTTGAGTCTTGAATCAGGAGTAAAATGGAATTTCAAAAAATGAAAAGCTCTGTTGCCTTGGTTGGATGTGTCTTGACATTTCACCTCACAGATGAATAGATATGTTTAACCTAACTTAAACATTAACAACAGCTAAGTGTGTTAATTTTGAATTTTCATCTAATTTGAATATCCCTTGGGAACTTCAGTGGGCAGTAAAAGTTGAGGCATTATTACTGTGTATACATGTAATGAAACATCACATGGCGTGCCATTATTATGTGCAATTTTATTTAATTTTTTATGTGTGATATTTATGTGTAAGTTAAAAATTAGTTTAAATTAAAAAACAATAAAATTAAAAATTAGATTATATTTTTATAACATCCTTCACATTTTTAAAAAGATTTATTTTTTTTAACCTTTTTTACTTTTATGTGGTACTAAGGATCGAGCCCAGTGCCTCACTCATGTTAGGCAAGCGCTCTACCACTGAGCCACAATCCCAGCCCCAGATTGTATTCTTTGAGTAAGCAATGAGTAATAAAATGGGAATATTGCCTGAGAATACTGTATGGCAGAAAAATAGTTTGTGTCTAAAACTTTGCCAGCCGTGTTCCAAGAAAGTAAGTAACTTGTATAAGGATAAGAGACTTGATTCTTTGAGACACAGCTGAAGACTCAAAAAACAGCTATGTAAGCTATAGAGGATAGCAGCATTTGGGGGGGGGTGGCATTAAAAAAAGACCAGACAAGGGGTCAGAAAAATCAAGATTTCTAATTTAGTCACTGTCTCTTAGTTTATCTATGATACCTCTCTCTCTTGGTGTATCACTTATCATACAATACCTAATGGTTTTTGTGTGGAGCTGAAAAAGTGCAAGTTCATAGAAGCTATTAATTTGTAAAGCACTGATTGGCTTTTTTCAAATGCTTTGCAAGTGCTTGTTATTTAACAAAGTATTACTGTAAACTGTGTATGCATTCTTTTTTTTTTGTATGCATTCTTTTTTAAGGCCCAGTAGTAATTTTGCTTGCTCAGAGGTGCTGTCCAGAAATGGGCCAGTTTGGTGTATAGATGGACACCTGCATGTACATTTTTGCTTTTACAGGTAGAGATTCAGATACACCTTGATAAATATATAAGCAGAATATATAAACATGTAAACATGTATAAACAGATAAGAATTTATACCCCTTTGGGCATTGGCTAATTTCCTGTACTTAGTCAAAGCTCGTACTAAGCTCTTCTGTCTTGGTTGAGTCTTGCTTTAGTTGATAAAATGGTCTTAACTGAAAGGATATATATTTTTTCCAGTACTGGTGATTGAACCCAGGGTTTGCACTTGCTGGGAAAGCACTCTACCTCTGAAAGCTATATCCCTAGTCCTTATTTTTTAAAAAATCTTTTTTTTAAATTTTTTTTATTCTGAGGCAGCATCTCACTAAGTTGGCCAGCCTGGCCTTGAACCCGTGATCTTCCTGCCTTAGCCTCCAGTATAGATATCTAAAAGGACAAATGTTTTGGGGTAAAATATAAGTATAGCTTTGGGGGCCAGAGATCTAATAATTTATGTTGCTAATATGTGCTTTTTTGTTAATCTTTTGAAAATCATGTTTTTTTAAAAAATTTTGTTTTCTTTCCCATAGTTGAGGTGACAGTATATGGAGAGGTATGTGCTGAACATATTTGTGTGGTTTTGTTTATATTGCTGAGTTTTCTTTCAGTCTCCTTAGTGGATTCTATGTTGAAAACTTGTGTTTCAGTTTCAGCAATGGTGGCTTTTGTGTGTGGTGAACTGCTGCCATTCTAGGTCTTTCCTCTTCCTAAGTGTCGACTTTGTGTGCTGTCTGTGGACAGGTGGAAGAGCTGTGCAGTGAAAAGAACGCCTGATGCATGTGTACTTTTGTGTTGAGATCGGTGTCGTCTCTGGGATGCAGGCAATATGGGCACAGTTTGCATGTTGCACAGCCTCTAAGATAGTTTACCAGAAGTTTTGATGTGAAGAGCCTCTCAAAATAATATTTACCTTTTTTTCTTCTTTAGATCGATCCTGTTACAGGAATGGTTATGAATTTGACTGACCTCAAAAAATATATGGAGGTAAATGCCATATTGGGTGCTAATTCTGTGCTGTGTCCTCAGCATAATTTTTGGTGACTTCCTTTCCACCTCCCCAGTCAGTTATCACTTGGGGTTCCATGACTTTGTGAGTGGGGTTGGGTGTGGGCCTGGGAGGATAGTTGGAGAAATTGCTCTCGTGGCCTTCTAAAAGTCTCCTTAATGGAAAGTAGTCAAAGCTGTGTTGTAATGATGGGGCAATGTGCAAGTAGCATGCTTACCTTGTATTCCTTGTTGGAATATACTGATTTCCTCCACTTCACAAATTCTATCCTTATTTCCGGACACAATTTTCTCCTTGAAGTTTTCTGTTTCCTTTTTGAATATTCCTTATACCTTTGCCCTTATATTTTAACATCACCATTTATTATTCACTTTGTCTTTACTATAAACTTAGGGGCAGTTCTTTACCGAGATAACACATAAGCAGATATTTAATAAAGAACTTACTGATTGTGTTATCATATAATTCTTGCATTGTAAGAGATCTTAGAGATCATCCAAACCATTTTTTCCATTCCATAGATTAAGATTGAGAGATGCCAGGCAGTTAACTGACTTGCCCCAGGTCATGTTGTAAAGTTGAGAGTAGGCTTTTTTTCCATCTAGCTGATTTTATTAGGCTATCATTTATTTAGTTCTTCACATCAACTCTGCAGCTTACTTTTATTCTAAAATTTGACATTTGTTTCATAAAAATGATGTTAATAAACATTATTTCTTCCCATTACGTATCCATATATTCAACACTCTTGCCTACTTTGCAACAGTTCTTGAGCTCAGAGCTAGGAATACAAAGATGAACGAAACATAACCCACAGGGTACTTGTGTTACCTTTTCAGGAGGTAAAGAAAAGTAAATGCTCAAAAGTTGTTGGTTGAAATAAGAGAATGTGTAAACAAACAAATAGCACTGTGCTGAAAGAACTATGAGAAAGTTATGAAGACAGAATCCTTGTGTCTTCTAAGGACATACAGTATATATACACCAAGTATTATACCATGTAAGACAATAATTAGAGCTCTCAAGCCCACATATAGTTGAATACTACATAGGGGCTTGCTGTGCTCTTTTCCTCCTTTGTGTACCTAACATACACTGTACATGCCTATTTGTGTGCTTATGGCACAAGCAGTCTGCAGAAGAGACTTCTGTGGAGAAGCTGAAACTGAACTGAGATTGAAGATAAAGCAAAGGTATTTGTTTTACCTACCTACCTTCCTTCCTTTTTATTTTTTTCAAAGACATAGACATTTATTTAGGAAAACAGAGGCACATTCAAGGAAGAATGTGGGCTATCTTAAGAGTGAGAGAGAAGCTTTGGGGGTAAAGCAAGGAATATACATTCATGGGAGACTGTGGACTATTTCCAGAGGGAGAAATAGCTGATATCTTTTTTTTTTTTTTTTTTTGGTATTCATTCAAAATATCTTTTCATTTGATCCATTTTATTTCATCTATTTATTTATTTTTGTGCAGGGGATTGAACCCAGCATGCTGTACTGTATAGCTACAACCCCAGTCCTTTTTGTTTTTTATTTTGGAGATGCTAAGTTATTGAATTAAGTTGTTCAGGCTGGCCTTGCACTTGCAAGCTTCCAAGTGTCTGGTACTACTGGCATGCACTACCATGCCTGATTGTTTGATTATTTTTAAAAGCTAGTGGATCCAGATGTACCTTTAAAAAATATTGTTCTAGTTTTATCATGAAATGATTGTTATTATTATTAATGCACCCTTAAGACATATAATATAGAAAATTAGATTGTTTCACAAATGCTTGAAGTTTTGTACAAGAACTTAAAGGAAAACCCTATTTAAAAAAAGCAATTACAATCATTGCTAATGACGATGAAAAACATTGTGTTAATATATGTGAGCATTAGGAAGTAATTGTGTGTTTACAAGAGAGAGAGAGAGAGAACGAGAAGGAGTGGGGAGAGAGATGGAGGGGTTATGGGGAGACAGAAAGTGATAGAGCCCTTTGTTTACCAGAGAAAAACTATAAATTATAAAGGCATTACCCCCAGTGACCCATCTCCTCTAACCACACCTTCCTGCTTATAGTTACACCCAGTTAATTCATATCAGTGGATTAATCCCCTGGTTGATCATATTAATTAATTAATATGATTAGGTCACATCTCTCATCATCTAATCATTTCACTTCTGAACATTCTTGCATTGTCTTACACAGGAGCTTTTGGAGGGATACCTCATATCTAAATGGTAACATAGTCTTTACACATTTGTAATTTTTCTTCTGAGAGCCTAAGATCATTCTTAAATTATTATAGCAGAAATTTAGCTACTTACATAATTCCAGTCCAGGTCTGTTTTATAAAATATACTGCTGTTGGATGTTTGTCCTAATGATATTGTGGCATTGTTTTATAGGTGGCACTGTTGTGGAAAAGCATTTCTGGTAACTTTTTTGACAGAATTCAAGAAGTGTTAAATTGAATTTTGAATCACAGTGACTTGTGTTTCGAGAAAACCCTGGCAATTCTAATTTTTAGTTTCTCACCTCTTTGCATTCAGTAACAAGGATAACTAATCATTGCAGGGAACTGGACCTGACTTTATTTTTTACAGCTTTAAACTTTGGAAAGATTGCTGTATAAGACATGGATATATCACTTACCAGTACTGAGTTAGTGGCTAAATGATAGGGTAAGATTTAGAGACTTAGGTAGAACCGTATGGAATTTGAGTCATGAATAAAATCAGTGGTTTTCCCCTTTGTTTTGTGTGTAGGAGGCGATCATGAAGCCCCTTGATCACAAGAATCTGGATCTAGATGTACCATATTTTGCAGATGTTGTAAGGTGGGTGTCACCATCTTGCTTTATAGAGATAGTAAGAAAGAAGAATTAATTTTAACATTTTATCTGATTTTTGTGTGATTTCTAAAGTTCTAGTTTAATGATATCTTTGAGCACTAGAATTTGTTTTCTGTGACTATTAGATATGAAATTTTGGTTATTTTTTGCGTTTTGAATTTCTTTTTTTTTTTTTTTCCTCTATAGCACGACAGAAAATGTAGCTGTATATATCTGGGAAAACCTCCAGAAATTTCTTCCTGTGGGAGTTCTTTATAAAGTAAAAGTGCATGAAACTGACAATAATATTGTAGTCTATAAAGGAGAATAGTTCTTAGGGATTAACACTGTAGAAAGACTAATTTCCTTCCACATTTAAAAAAGATCTTTATCTTCTTGGAATATTAAGCAGTCACCACATAATTGTTGTACTACATTGTGTTCTGAAGTGCCTGATTTATTGAAATCATTATAAGACCTGTTATGAATTTAAATCTATTTTAAAATAAAGCTTGTAATGTATCCTGAATATCATTTAGAGAGTCCTTTATCTATAGATTAAAAGTCACTTTATTTTCAGCAAAATGTTTTGGTGTGTTAATATTTGAAAGAAAAATCTATTTTTCTTGTATTCTCTTATCTCATTTTTAGCATTCATTTTTCTTAATATAAATGGTAGAAATGCTTATGCAATTTAAAGTAGATGAATTTTATAAAAAAATAAAATTAAGCACTGGGAGGCTGAGGCAGGAAGATTACAAGTTCAATGCTAGCCTAGGCAATTTAGTGATACTCTGTCAGAATAAAATAAAAAGGGTTGGGGATGTAGCTCAGTGGTAGAGCACGTGTTTAGCATGCGCCAGGCCCTGGGTTCAATCCCCAGTGTAGCAAAAAAGAAATAAAAAATAAAGAAATAAAAATTCAGATGACTACAAAATCTGGAGACACTATATATAATTTGAACTCCCTTGGTTACTATTTTTTGGTATGCTAAAGGCACAAATTTATTCAGTGAAAGTTAGACCCACAAATTATCTAAGGTGGTACATTGCGAATGCATATACAAAGATGGACGGAAATGCTGCTTTTATGGACATTAGACATTGCAGCTTTACACGGGTATTGAACTATGAATTGCTAGTGAGGAACAACAATTGAACATACTATACAGTATAAGTATACTATTATATGTATTTGTCTAGAATACCAGACGTTATAGCCACCTGAATAATTTAAACTTGGAAGACTGCAGAATAATGATGTATTTTAAACCATGTTAACCTAGCCAACATAAAAAGGATGTGGTACTCTGTGAAGTATTTCCTGTATGCACTTTTTCCTGACTGATCCCATTTTATTCTGATCATTAAACTTACCTGTATAAGTTGAAGTATATTCTTGGCATTATCTCTGGTGTCTTTTCAACATGACTAAGTCCACAAGAATGTATTTGCTTGCTATGCACAAAGAGCTATTCTCTTGTGTTCATTTATATTCTAAACTTATTAAATGGAGGATTATATATTTATCTCCACATAGTATCTATATTTTTTCTGGATTCTCAGAATGTTGCTGCCTGGAAGAAATAAAAAACTTATGCAGTGATCATGATTCTAGAAAATTTTGCAAAGGAAGACTTATTCTGGAGAGGAAGTAACTATAGGAATTTTATTACAAATTTTCATAATCACTGCCCACTTAAATTTGGATGTGTTGTAGTTATCAAACTTATTTTTTATCTATGTAGACTGTTTTGTAATGATTGAAAGGCAGTATAGCTACTATTTATGAAGTTACTTTATGTTTTAACTCTCACAAACACCATGTAAGGTAGTTACTATTCCCATTTTACAGATAAGAAAATTGAGAGGGTTTAAGCTACTTGCTTAAGATTACTCAGCAAATAAATTAAAAGTTGAGATTTTTCTCACTTCAAAACATAGACTCAAAAAAGGACAATGTATTTATATTTCCAGATTTTTAAAAAGATGCCAAAATTTTCAAATCTGATATGTTAGAGAAATGTTTTTCTTGATAACAATGACACTCAAGGTGTTGGTTGCTCATGAGTTGCTTCAAGGGAAACATTTCTCCCCTACCTTCTCTCCTTAGGAAAATAATTTTATTTGTTTATCTATCTAGTCATTCATCCATTCATCCACCAAATTCATGAGTGAAAAAGATGAGTAAATGAATGGGAGGACCAAAAACAGGTATAGGTGATTTTTTTTTCTTCCTTTCAGAGACCATATCAAACTTACAATTATTACTTTTCATGTTTTTCCTCCCTTTTTATTGTAAATTCCTGGTGGGCAAAGTCCTTATTTTAAGCAAAGTGGCTAATAAATAGGACTCAATTTTTGCTCATTGAATAAATGAATGGCATATTGGTAAAAACTGTTGAAATTTTATACTGTTACATAGAAATTGAGAACTTGGCACATATTTTTAGACTTGAATAACCTGAAAGTTTTGAGGCTCAATTATGGCCCTAGAGGTGTTAATATTTAGTTGACTGATGCTTATCTCTGGTGTTCAGTTTCTTTACCTGTAAAGTTAAGTCCTTGGATTAGGTACTTTCTGAATTATTTCTGCCTATTTTATACTTAGATGATTTTAAATACCAAATGAGTAAATATTATTATTATAGAAAAGGGAGAAGATCATTCCGAGGTAATGAGGTTTGGAAGCTTTGTAAACTCCATTAAGGAGGTAAGTCCTTAATGGTACTGACAGTGATTGGGAAGGAGAGTGGTAGTCTGGAATTCAGGAGAAAAGAGAGACTACGAGACTCATTGGCTACGATACTGTCATTGCGCAAAACTTTGGGACTGAATGCCAAAGGGTAAAAGTTACTTGGCAAAGCTACTAGGGAGGGAATATACAGGCATATTGGTGATATAGTGAATAGGTTAATCTTAGTAGAATAATGGTGAAGTAGGACAGTGTTGTGGGACATGAGCTTGGAAATATAGAATGGGACAGTCTGGACGTCCTTGAATGTCAATTTGATTTGTTTTTTAAGTAATAGGAAGCTGTTGAAATTTTGTTTTTTAAAGAAGGTAGCCAACTGGACAAAGGAAAGAAAGGAAACCAGGTGCAAAGCTACTACAGGAATCTATTCATGGAGTGATGGGTTCCTGGACCATGGTGGTGGCAATAGAAATAAAGAGATGGGGGAAGGAGGATCAAGTTAACATTGTGCAGTGCCTAATGTGGCATCAGGCATGTTGCTGAGTACTTTTTATAGTACCTCATTTTATCCCCACAATCATCCTACTTTGTGAGGGTATTAGTTACCTATTGCTGAGTAACAAATTACCCAAAGCATAGCTTAAACATGATTTACAGCAGCATATATTTATTGTCTTAGTTTCTGTGGGCCATGAGCCAGGGGTGGCTTAGTTGTGACCTTTGGTCCAAGGTCTCTGAAAAGGCTGCAGCCATCTCAAGGATCTACCTGGAAGGATCTTCCCAACTCACTCACATGGTTGTTGGCAAGATCCAGTTCCACATGGGTGATTGGACTGAAGCTTCAGTTCCTGTTTCTTGCCATTTAGGTATTTTATAAAGCATCTCCTGCAAGACAGCTTGCTCCATCCAAGCGGGCAGATAAAGGGCAAGGGGAGTGCCTGCAAAACTGATGTCACAGTCGTTTATAGCCTAACCAGTTTTTCTATATTTTGCTTCTTAGAAGCAGGTCACTAGGTCTAGGTCACACTCTAGGGGAGGAGATTACATTTACATCGCTAGTGTGAAAAGTGTGATGGAGATAGCAGGAGACAGGCTAGGGAGGTAGACAGAAAGTGTGTATCATGCTGTTTTTGATGCCAGAGGAATAAAGCACAATTTCATTTTGCAGGAGTGAAATATCAGAGCAGCAGTGGTTGTTTATAGAGGGAATTGTGGGTTTTGTGGGTAGGGATATAAAACAATCTTAGAAGCACAACTCTTGAAAGTAAAACCAATTCTAAGGTGAAGTTATGAAAAATATAGTCACTGAATCTCATGAGCATAATGACCAGAGCTCAGCTTTCATTGGTATTGCCTTAATTGATGTAACCACTGGTGGGTTATGAAAATGGCCAGAGTACTACAATCAGCTCAGTACATGTAGTCACTGGTACACTAGACCTGTGATAAGTTATCCATTTGGCTTTGCAAATACCAAATTTTCAAATTCCTCCTGGACTTGAAATTATCCTAAAGATCAGAAACAGATTGTTCTCATTTTGCTTTTGTTATGTCTGAGATATTTCTAGCTTTCCTCACATACAGAAAAATCGTTGTTAGTTTCACATAATTTAACTTTACAGCAAGATTCTGCTGTAAGACACTTGGAAAATGTCCCAGATAAACTGGTAAGGTCTCTACAGTGCCTCAGAGAGAACTGTTATTGCTGCAAAAGAAAGGTAGAGGCAAGTGGTGTAGTTCTGCTTTCCATTGGTTCATCAGTTGGTTTGTTTCCTTCAAAATAGCCACAAACTCACTCTCACCTGTGCTTAACAGCCGTTGAGACAGAAGAATTAATGATTTTTCTTACCTCTAACATCTAATCTATCAGAAAGCTCTGCTGGTTCTACCTCCTAAACGTTTCATGTTGATTGTCTTCATTTCTGATGCAATCACCCTAGTCTAAGCTGCCATGTTTTGGCCTGGAGTTCTGACATGGTCTTTTAACTTGTTTTCTACTTGTACTTTTGTTCTCTTCCACACTTCTATGGGTCTTTCTGAAAGAGCAATTGAGATCTCCTCAGGCCCCATATAATCTCCTGAAAGCTCCCTCTTGATTTTAGAATACAATCCAAGCACCTCACACTAGTTTACCAAGCTCTGTGTGATCTAGCCACTGCCTACTTGCAGCCTCAAGCCATTCACTGTTTTGTTCACATTGGCCTTCCAAGTATGAGGGCATATCAATTTCATTCCTTCCTCGAGACCTTGCATCGATCGGCTGCCCTTTTGCCTGGAAACCTACCCTCCCTCACCTCCCTACCCTCTTCATTCCCCTGCGTAAAACTTAAGCATTCTTCAGACTTCAGTTTAATGTCACTTAAAAAAAAAAACCCAACTTTTATTTATTTCTTATTATGTGGTGCTGAGGTTTGAACTCAGTGCCTCACATGTAGTAGGCAAGCGCTCTACCACTGAGTTACAACTCCAGCCCTACCTTCACCTTCTTGAAGACACCTTCCTTGATCATCCTGAATAGGTAGAAGCCCTCTGTTATTTGCTGATATACTTTGCACTCACCTTTCTGTTAGTTAAAATTTTTTCTATATTGGTTTCTTTTGTTTTATTTATTTATATACTAGTTTAGTATCCATCCCAACCATGAAGATATCAATGTCATGAGAACCAAAGCCGTGCCTGTATAGTTCACTTTTGTTTTCCCAGGACCCAGGTTAGTGCCTCCTACAGTGCAGGTGCTGAATATAATCATCCCTCCTATCCATGGGAAATTGGTTCTAGGACCACCCACAGATACCAAAAACATGGATGCTCAAGTCCCTTGTATAAAATGATAATATTAGCATATAACCCACACATATCCTCTAGTAGACTTTAAATCACCTCTAGGTTACTTATAACACCTAATGCAATGTAAAGGTGTTAAAACTGTTATGCTGTTTTGCTTAGGGACTAATAGTAAGAAAAAACGTGTGTGTATTTAGTACAGAAACTTTTTTTTTTTCCTTCATATTTTGGATCTGTGGTGGTGTGGAACTCACAAGAGAGCTAATTATTTACTGAATAAATGTATACTCTTGCCATCTCTAAAGAATTGGTAGAGTATGGTTTTGATAATTTTTTTGAGATTTAATACCGAACTTCAGATATTCTTAATGCATTTCAGTTTAGAGAACAGTCACCACAGTAAGGTTTCCTAAGACTTCCACCAAACCTGTTTTTCTAGCTAACTTTATCTTCCTGGGAATTTTCCATTTCCATACTTTAGTATAATCTCCTGGTCCTCAATTATTAATTTAGATAAAGATAAGCACAAACTCTGAATTAAAGTTCTGTTAGTCAATAGCTGTCCTCTGACTACATCATTATTAGTTAGCAGCCCAGAAAAGCTGCACAGTTATTGCCTCTTCCCTAGCTCTTGGAGTGTAGGTTTACCCTAGCAGGGAGCCTTAGGTGATTTTGCAAACAATGCTTTTTATCATTTCCTCTCTTTGACCCTAAGAGCAAGAATGTGAATGGAATGTGAAACTGAACTCATTGTGTATCACAGGTAGTGTTTGTGTTTTTTCAGCAAACAGTGACCTGACTTGTTAACTTAATAACCCTCAATAATTCCCAGTGAAGTAGGGAGAAAGTCAAGATTCCATTCTTGAAGGAGAAAACAGTGATTAGAACAGAGAAAAGGCAACTTAACCACCTTTT